AGTGTCTTGCAGAAGTGCCCAAATCTCGATTTCATCCACCCGGTCCAAACCCTGTGTATCCTGAGGCAATCCAGCAAAGCCTGGGAACACCTCAGTGGCGAGTCAGGCAAGTACTTGCACCAATGACGTTTGTCATGGTCCACCTTCACGCCTCACGACTCACAACTCTTTGACCGCATTGCATTAGAAAACGACCACATGAAACAGCAGGGGTGCTTGAAGCACGTTCCTTTACGCGCGTCACCGTAGTTGTGATCGGGTGTAATGATTTCAGGGAAGCACACATACAATCCTGTGTCTTGGCTGGCTAGGTGATTCTGTTTATAAAGCTCAATCAAACTCTGTTTTACTTGGCAAAGGATTGGCTGAGGGCCAGCAAACTAATTACTGTAGTTGTGCGTACGGTATATCCTGGTTGTCTGTACATATCAGCTCCACAGTCTGCCAAGGGTGAATTACAGGCCTGGGCAGTTTTCCTGAGCACTCCAGCCCATCCATCGTGATGCTAAGTTCTGCATCGTGAAGCCAAACATACTCTACAATGACTCCACGAGGGCTCCGGCCTGCAACCGCGTACTGACATGGCAGAATTATGCTTGAAGTTCTCTACTCCTCAACAGCTATAGGGTAAGAAAAAAATAAATTTGAAACACCGTGCACCTTACATTCCCATCTGGTACTTGTAACCCTCTCACAAACCACATTTCAGGATGGCCTTTAGGGCCTTGAGTTCCAAGTGGTCAATACATTGTCTTTTGTGGGGTACAATCATGTTGCTAAGGTTTTGGCCAATCATAATGTTTACAGTATCCCTTAGGCCAGACCATCATGTCTGACTAACCGTTATGCTTCCTCCTCCAAGAACGAACCCACGCTCCGATCCAGCAAGATCAAGCAAGCAGCGTGGGGCAAGAAGTTGATGAGCTCCCATTTCTCGCCTGCCACACCACCCCATGCTGCAAACCAGGTGGATGTGTGCCAAACACGAGTAGTTTGTGTTTCATTAGCAGGAAGAAGGCACCACTTTACCTTGCAAGTCTTGCAGGGCCTCTTTGCTTGAGACAAGCAACCAGTACGTGGTCTTTGGCGTGACTATGCAGAGGAGCAACCTCTGCTGCTGGTTGCTCTGCTAACAGGTATAGTGGAGTATTTCCAATTGCTATTGTTGTAACCAACAAAGGACCACGCACATCAAGTGGAAGAAACACGTGAATGGCATCACAATGCCTTTCCCGCCGACACAGTGTGGGTCTATGGTATTCAATAAGAAACAACTATCCAGTTCCTATTGTTAACAACGGTTCTATACAACTGAATGCCGTTCGATGACCTAGTTTTGTTCAGTGGTGGAGTTGTGGACCCGCAGCACTCCATTACCAGTTGCTGAAATCAAGAGATGCCTGCTGATGCCTACTCACTCCTGAGGGACCATCTAGGTGTTTCTAGAATGCTGCCCAAAATCACCCTCGAAGCCAGAACCACTTGGGACACATAGTCAATTAATGAAGTAGTAGCAAAAGCGATTGGACCAACTAATACAACTAATTATTGCTTGTGAGACATGTGCAGGAAGGAAGCTGGTCTCACAGATGCTGCTTTGGCTTAAACACTATCTGTTTCTGGTGCAAGGGGCAGGATCATGCTCTGAACACGCGGACACATCATGCGACAGTCACTTGCCACTCACGTCTGTTTGAAGAGTGGCATTGAAACAGGAACCATTGCAAAATCTACCTTCGTTGTGACATTATGACCTTGACTCCATGTACATCATACTGTCTCAGGTCCAATGAAGGTCCTTTCATCAACCCTTGCACCACTCTCACGGCTCCTGGGAAGGTCTTCCGGTCTGGAGAGGTCTTGATCAAACGTGGATTGATGAGAGGATGCACCTGGCCCATGTTTCGCAAAAAGGCAATAGATTGTGCAACTTGGCCTTGTGTAATCCCATTCAGTAATTACATGGTGTACACAAGGCCTTTGTAATGGTGTATGCATGTGTGATGCCTCACACCTCCAAAGATGCCTGCAGGTCAAAACTTTGGAACCAGCTGTTGATTCCCCACCGCTCGAACGGTAATGGACGCCCTACCAGGCATGCCAACCGTGGGCAGCCAGGTTTTGACCCAAAGTCACTGTTGTCACTGGCCACAGATTCCAGAGCCAAGGGTCGGATCTCCCTAGATCTCGATACATCTCACCGATGTTGTGCCTGTCCCGTACGGGCTGTTTCTTCCTGCAGCGCAGCATTCAAAGCGTTGGCCACGCCCTCCACAGCTCTGTGCCCCTGGGCACGATCCGGTCACACACCGCCTCTTACTACAAGGAGTGTGGCACTGGGAGTGGCACACAAGCAAAGGGAAACAATATGAGAAGATCTTGACAGCAAAGAGGTGTCCTATTTTGTGCTTACATTTATATTTATATAAGCATATTCAAGCTCCAAACACAGACACACTGTTTGTCTCTGACCTTCACACTTTCATTTTATTGCAGCAAAGTTGTGACAGTACTGACTACACTACTGATGACTACTGCATATATATAATGTCCAGTCTTTGCTGTGCTGTTGGAGTCTACCTTTCCCAACGTTGGTCACTCATGGGAGCAACCCAACCACCACCGACCCTGACCGATGAGGAGCCTCCCAAAAGAGCTCCAACTGCTGCTCTGTCACAAAGCCTTCTTTCTCGGCCATGCCCAACTAGGCACCGATTTGGCTTCGCGGGCCGCGGAATCCGCGCACGGATCCCACTGGAGACACCGGGGAAACCTTGTGGGATCTTCGGATGTCCATGACATCATCACATATTCAATGATATTAAATTAGCGAGTAAAAGGGATGCAAACCAATGGAACCAACGGATGCATCCACGTCTGAACCCAATGGCAACAAGTGTGAGATTACTCTTCACCAAGAACTTGCATCGCCATGCAACACCTGCAAGCCAGTGCGTAGAATTAGGGCACGATGCATTTCTGAGTAGTCATGTTATATACGATGCAGGCGGCAGTCACTCTCTCCTAATATGTAGGTATTGTTGGAGGGGACTATCTATATACTCACTGCAACTACCAACGCTGAAATGCGCCAGGGATCGCCCCCTTGTTTAAGTTTAAACCTATGTTCGCAACAAGGAGAGATTTGCACATTGGACCCATACCCTGCTACACACCTTTGCACTATCATGCTCAGAGTGGGCTGAGGCCTGTTAGGCTGATCATGGATACTCAGTGCATATGTGGAATACCACCTGAATCACCACTTACTTCCAAGTACCTTCGGATGGTACCCTCCGTTCCAGCCGAAAGAACCCAGCCGACCACCGGGACTCTGTACGGAGGTCAGGAAGGCCAAGGGCAGCCGATGGAGACGTTCCATGGGTCGTGCCAGAACGCGAAGCACCTGGAGCCACAGCCAGGAAGCTTGTGACGAACGGCTGCGCCAGTGAACCAAAGGGCTATAGCTGATGAATCCCTTTCTCTACGTTTAAAGTACGATGAATATAGCTTAATCAAGTTTCCCTAACAATCTAGAAACCACATATAGTTTAAAAAATGATAAAAACAGAGCTAAATAACAAACAATCCCTTTGCCTTTTTCATGCCATTTCGAATCCAGCGAGGCCCGGCGAGGCCTCCAAGGTGGTGGCCTTCTGGAAGCTCAACTCTTTCGCCTCCAGGGGATCCAGATCTCACGCTGGAGGTCTCAATATCTTCAGAGGTGGTCTCGAGTCACATTAATTTTGTTGTGTTTCTTAGTGTTTTGGAGAAACCGTTCTCATGAATTAATTGTTCCAGTTGGTCAATGATGTCCTTCTCCAGCCTAGCCAGCAACGAACATGACACACAGGTGTGTACAGGACATAGGCAAACATGAGATCTGCACAACCCAAGCACAACACACCTCGCACAGTGGCCCTTGCCCCCCGCTCACTACATGCCAACGAACCACTCTGGAAGCACCTTGGTAGGCTCAGCTGCAGCATCCTGGTGCAAAACGTAGACACATGTAGAAACGAAATGGTCGGCTTTGTCCAATTGGTTAATCCCCTGAACAAATACGACATAGGCATGCTACGAGTGAGAATCATCCTGTGTGTCAATTTCAGACCACACACTCGAATTTCCACACAAATAATCACTGTTAGTTGTTGCACTATTTCCAACTGCGAAGCAAACTGAACAATGATCCCGTACGAGCTTCTTCGGAGCTGCAAAGCAAGCTTCATCAACAAGTAACTAGCAAGGGGAGATGCAAGAATTGGTACATGACAGACTTCCCGAGCACCTTTTTGATCCAAATATCAGGATATCGGATGCCGAAATGCTTGCTCTCAGGCGCTCAGGTTGTTAGAGGCATTCTGCCAAACACTCTCCCCATCCCTGACAAGTCATGCACCACACGTTCTTGGTCAACATTGACGATGTTACCCTGTGACATGACTCATGCAATTGGCAACGTTTGACTTGCCATGGTCCCGCACCTCACATGTTTGGACAACACATAGGACTTCATAGGACATACGAGATCATAAGATTTGCTCAAAGGGATGGTCCGGAGAGTCGGAAAAACCAAGCAAGATTCTCAGAGTCTGGTGCCAGAGCCGAACGCTCTAGGCAAACACGGTTCTACGCAAAAAAAAGGACTTCACTCAGCTTTGCTCCATCCGCACCCTCAGACTTCTCTCCTGAGGAGGGTCTTTGGGTCGTTCTGCTGTTTGACCAGGATGTTATGCAAAAATGAATAATCATGAGTAATCACGTTGATCTGAGCAAATCCAAGCTGATCCAAGGAAGCCCGCTGCATCTTGCCTGGTTACAGTCAGGGCTCGCATGGACCTGTCAGCTGCTGCTTACTCAGGCTCACTTCTGAACAATTCTTCTCATGCTAGGCTGGGAACTGTTGGTGATTGAATCTAAGTCTCTAGTCTATAAGTGTCCCAACATGTTGGGGGGTGCCTATAAGATCCCTATAGCGCCGTGGCTTTGTCTGCACCCTAATTTGGATTTGAAGGAGTCGCGCGAGCCTGCTCGAATTCATTCTGTGTCCTTGCCATAATAAGAGCGGCTTTTGCCCTTCACTTCAGGTCTTGGCAAAGGTGACGAGGTTGGAGTATTCCCTGACGCCTCAGGAGCCTCATCAGCACCCTTCAATTTGATGCAATCATCAAGGCTGAGAGTTGTGGCGACCACCAGGGTGAAGCGCCATGAGTGGAAGTCCAACAGACTTTCAAGCAGCGCGTCTTTCCACCAATTATGCAAGGCTTGCTCTCTGTGTTGTCTCACATGGTGGCCTATGCGATCTGAATACCGTTCTTGAACCACCTTCTGCTGCCCAACAAGATTGATATCGATTCCCAGCCCTGCCAAAGCATTGATGAAAGCAGCAATCTGAACGTACTCATAGAACGTCCATTGGGACCATGGGCGGGATGTAACAAAGGCTACCTGGGAGAGTTTCACCAGGACTGCTCCAATAGCGGCAGTTACGAGAAGGATGAGGGAGGTGAAACAAAATCCGACGATGCGAAAAAAGAGCTTGACATAATGCCATGGAGTCAGCATTTTGCTGATGGCTTCCGTGGAGGTTGAAACTCGAGAGGCGCAATTGTCCTCCTGGTGTTTCTCCAATGCAACCTCATGAAGAAATCGATTGTGGTGAAGCTGCACCTCTTTCAATATTTTCATAGGGCTCGCATAAGGCAAACCAGACAAGGCAGAAAACCGGCCGGTAACATAAACGAACTGGGAGAACATTCGAAGCTTCTGGTTTCGATCCGCCGTGTTGGGAGGCAAAGACCTCAATAGAGCTGAAATTGTGCTCAAGCCAAACAACATTGCGACTGGCACTTCAAGCCAAGCGAGGCAGTACTTCGACAAGTTCCAATCGATACTGGGGTTCCTTGGTGGCAATCTCCATGCAGAATAGATGAGAACCGTAAGATTTGCAACAGCTCGAGCAAGCACGAGCACACATTCCAGCCGTCGAAACGACGGCCTTTCTCCAAAGAGTTTTGTTAAACGATTGCGGTCGAACTTGCCGAATTCGATCTGTCCGGCATTGTCTTCAGGAGGAGCCGGTGCTAATGCTTGCGTTCCCATTAGGAGAAACGTCAGGCCCCAAACAAGACAACCAGCTCCGCCAGAACTAATGTACCTCCCATCAGCACCCGACTCCATTGTCACAAAAAGGACCGCAAAGAGAACTGCCGAAAGGACAAAAATAATGAAGCCAACACAAATGGGAGGCTGCTTCCTCTTCCCGTCTGTGAGGCGAGCCCGTAAGTCCACATTCTGATCCTCGCCATTCTCTACGTCCTTTTGCTGGTCCTCTTCCTGCTCCGCCATCTATATACCTACTTCACCGCTTTATCCTGTTATCACTTCGCGCAAGGACCAGGAATGGTAAGCCAAAATCATGCTGCAAGCACATGTGAAGCAATGTCACAAGGCCATGGTGTGCCAAGAATCCTCGCAGGCATGCCATGAGCAGAGCATTGTTGGCTGGACCGACCTCCGCATATGATTATTATTGCTAGGGGAACATGTCCAAACGTCTTACTATACCCAACAGTGCAGCTGCACCTCGGCATGCCCAGCTTCGGTGATCTGAGGTGCACGGTCAAGGAAAGCGAAAAGTACTGTGAGGATCTCTGAGGGTGTTGGACGTTGGAGGGTCATACTATGATGCTTCTCTATCTTCTCTGTACATCATGCAAAAATACACAGACTTGAGTACACATTCAATCTATATAGTTTAGTCATCCCAAACCCAGAAGAGTACAACAACTGAAATCATGGGGTGCAGTGCTAGTCTGTTGCGGAGGCAAACTTTGGACTACTCTTAGAGCTCATTGGATGCTTACACTACACTCCAAGCACCAAGCTGCCTTAAAGATTGAAACAAAGGCCTTGCTGGATCCGTCTTTGCAATCACGTGCAACCGCTCACTGTGGCTGATCAAAACATGTCCCATTCACAGAGTTGAGCGGCCCAGTAACCTGCAAATGTATACACCCGAGTCATGGCGAAATCACCTGTTTCCACGAAGCATATGGGATATTCCGTTCCCCAACAGTCATTCCTGATCAACCGTATTTAGACTATGGACTATGGCACTATGGGTAGTCTTCAAAATGGCTCACCTGGTGAGCGTATTTAACAACAACAGCCCTATCTAACTTGGCAAGCAAATGGATGGGCGATCGCTTTGCTCTCGCCTTTGCGGTCTTGCCGGCTAGGATCTTGGCCAAGGTCGTTGAGATCTGGCGTGGAAGTTGAGGTATGAACATGTGCGCATCACAGCTTCCAGCAAGCAAAGCTGAATATGTATATAAAAGGAACGTACTGTTCGTGCGGTATCCAGCATATTCCGGTCTATCAAAAAAAGATGCAGTAGTAAGGGGTAACTCCTACTACATAGGTCTGTTTCAGTCCTGCGTGCAGCCATATTGGTCCAATTCCTTTTTGGGGGTTAGCCCTGCGCCAAGTCCCAAAAGAATGGGGTAGCGGGTTGTACACTGCAGGGCAAAGGAAACCCTGTAGGTTACCCTCCCTGCTCCGTGAAGGTGCACCAATTAGCTGCAGGCAAGTCACTACCCCAGGATGTAAGTCCAACTCTGAAGCACAAAGACTGACTCATCCTTAAAATCTTCACACAAGTCACTACAGTTAGTTCAAGGCTGAATGGAACATTGGCTGAGATATCTTATAAGATAGGTTTGTCACACAACTCCCGCGCCTGTGGAATAGAAGGGGCATAGAAAGGATCGACTTTGGAGATCACCTGGCGAGATGTCAGCCATCAAGGATTCTCCAAGCTGGTGAGATCAGTGGGTCATCTTTCTCAAACATTCATATTAAAATTTGGGCACGCAAACAGTACCAAAAAACGTGATGTTTATGTTTACATAATTGTTTTTGTTTATTATATAATAGTATATTAAGTCATAGGCTTGTTGGGGCCATGATCTAAATATTGATTTAGGCTTGGAAGACTGCTGATCAAGAATTCATCGGTCCATCTGAGCCAACTCGAACGTGAAGATCGCTGTGTTGAGAGGGTACAGCCCCGTCAAGGGTGTCGAATCCCAAAGACTATGGGGCCCTCGGGTCTTCTCTATACTGACTATCGATCAGTACTTAAGTCCTCGTCAATCCAACAACATCCTCCACCCAGCGCTGCGCACCCAAGCACTCTGCACTGCCAAAGCCAAGGGCTCCCCCAGCTGCCGCAAGTTCCTGCGGCCATGGTGGAAGTCCTGCAACGGGTGTTCGGCCAGCCTGGATGGGATTTAGGTTTGGGATGAAAAACACATAAATGAATGATGAACTTTGCAGTTTTGCTGGTGGAAATGGTAAGTAAGAATACAAACAAGTAATCCTAACCGGAACCAGTATCAGAGCTTCGGGATCAACGCACAATGGCATCGATAATGCCCTGCAGAGAGGGATCCACCGGTGAGGTGCGTTCCCTTTCGGGCTGGCCAGCATCAGAGTGCTGAGCACAGGGGAGGGGGCCCCAGCTAGCAGTGCTTCGGGGATGGTCAAGTTGGCATCCTGAAAAACCGCTTTCAGTCCCAGCAGGGACCTGGAAAGCGATCTTCCATGGTCTTCCCTGCATTGACTTGTTGGATTTGGATCTTGTGGCTCAACTGAAGAAACCCTTGAGGCATCACAAGTCCGAAAACAGCCTGCCCCAAAAAAACTCCCAGGGCACTAGGGCACGAACGAAGTGGCTGAACTTCGTGGAATTGCAGTGAAAAAAGTGTCCGAAGCCGAAACCAGCACAACGATGCATAAAGCAAAGCAACCAACACGCTGAGGATGAGTGGTGAGCGGTGAAGCTTTATGGCGGTGTCGGTCTAAGGCCTAAAGGAAGCAAATCAGGGTGACGGCATCATCTGTGTAAACAAAATGGCTTGGATAATCATGGATAATCATGACTAAAGCGGTCCTTGGCTTAGCCGCGTGCCATTTCCACTGTGCAATCGGAAAACTGAGCAGGTACGCAAATAGGCGTCCCTATCTCTATCACCACGAAACCATTGGCGTCTTTGTCAGTCAGGGACAAATAGTTAGTGCCCTGATCCCCTGCTTGCAGAACAAATATAGAAAGATATCGAAAGACTTGTCGCTTGTGATACCGGTTTACACACAAAGCAACCCACCACCTCTGAAATTATAAACCGCAACCAATCCAACCAATGCTCCCAGCTAAAAATGGACTGGCAGCCAGTGGCCATCTCCTGAAGCTCCTTCTGGAACTTGTTAGTTGCTGCCTGGGGACAAATTCGGGCAAGGCCACACCCTGCTTTCCTGCATGACCTGCGCACCTCCAAGGTCTGATGCCTGATGCATATCATAAGTGTTCATGGACGTCATAGCGCACTTAGCGTACAATCACATATATATATACATATTATGATATAGCATATGTAACAAACTCTACCGTCCGTCTCTGCAGCCTGCAATACTATACAAATCCTAGACTCGAGCCCGGGCTGAACTCCCTGATTTGTCTAGTCTACATTGTTCAAGCAAATACACAGTGACAGTATTTGAGAGATTACTGCAAAACAGTGAGATTGAGTCAACAGTGCTGCCACAGTGGCATGATTCTTTGCAGAAATCCAGATGCATGCGGTCGACAACAAACACGAGGCAATGCACGAACTACTCAAAACTCAAAAGAGCCTGCCGCATTGTCTTCATACCGCATACCAGCTTCCTGTCCTACCCAGTGAATCCCAGTTTCCGCTGAAGCAGCTCACTCGTCGATCGCTTGGGAGTCCCCATGGTGGCTCCTTGTGAACTCCGAGCCCGAGAGGCACCTCCTGTTGCTTCCTCGCTTCCGCATAGAGGCCGAGGATCCTAGGGCACTCTTGGCCCTCCAAGATCGATGCCCTGAGCATCTGGGGCAAATGTGGAAAACACGTTGCGACAGTTGAGAGAATACGAAAAATCTGGTAGAATGTATATGCTTCAAAAAGGGAAGGCTGCTTGTGAGAGTAACTAGTATCATGGTTCTTGGTTGAATATGTTGAAACAACAGGCTGGAACTGTCTGTTTCCTCCTCTGACATCGCACATAAACAAAACATCCCATGTCAAAGTGTTTCTGCCAACTCTGTAGGTGTCCGGGCCCATGTGAGTCCTCGAGGAAGCTCAGCAGCTTCTCCTTGTCACACCGTGAGTCTGGTGACTTCTGTGCTTGGATCTAGTCACCTAGGATACATTTTGATGAATTACTTGGATCATGTGTCACTTTGATGGGCTTCGTCTGGCTTAGGATCAAAGATTCTTTCAGTCGCTCTTGTGATCCCTCGCTTCCCGTCTTTGGATGCGACTATGGCAATGGATACACTCCGTGTCGGAAGACTGTTCTAGGCGTACTCACTCTATCTCTCTACCAATCGATTCCCTGTTTGTCCCCGATGTCTGTCACACAAGGAACGCACGCACCTCCGCCGCCCGAAGGCTGCTCTCATCAGGCACCAGGGCAAAGAGGTGAGTAAACCTCAGGGCCGGAGGAACTGAGATTCATCCTAAGCCATGTAAATGAAGGTCTGGAGTCTTAGTGTGTCCTAGCTCCTGATATATCTGATACACCCTATCTTTGGGGGTGCTTTGCATATGTCAGGAATTCTGTGGTAGTGGTCAATCAAGAGTCATATGGAAACAGCTCTGACTGACAATGTTACGAAGACTTCAAGAATTCTCATCAAGGGCGAAGCCCGGATAGTTTCTTTGGCAAGGGGTGGAAAGCCTCCAAACAAACGATGTTACAGGCAGGGATATAGTGATATAGTGAAACAACCAAGGTGCGGGTGCCAGGGTTCGCTCTCAGCGAAAAAGAATAAACACAGCTTCTTCGAGGGTAGAACTAATCGCGCAAAAAACAAACAAAACAAACAAGAAGAGCCCTATCAATGGGTCCATTGGTCCATTCTGATTGTTTCATCAACGCAAAGAAAAAAACAGTAGTGCCCCGAATCATGCGAAGTTACAATAAGTTACATGCAACATGTGATTCAAAACCATCAACCTGGACCTGAAACCATTGGCCCATGGAAATCCAAGGAATGTGTAGGACCGATGGAAGTGTTGGGCCTTCCACCCATCCAAGTCCCGGTGTCTTGGCCCGGTGCTCCTGGTCCAGTTCAGGGACCTCACAAAGGGGTCACCACGCGAGGCAACCCTGGTTGGCTGAAATGTGTGCACAAAAGAAACAAGTTCAACATGTAAATCTGTTGGCAAAATGAAATCTGTTGGCTTAAAACTGTGCTGAAATCTTTTGGCTGAAATCTGGTTGGCAAACGAAAACTATTCTTAGCTTGGCAATACTTCCGGGAAGGGACTGACTCTTGACACGAGTCAGTCAATGAAAGGCTGAGGGATTGATAGCACGCGACAGCACGC